ATTCAGCCACAGCCCTCTGAGGGAACACTTGACTTCAAGCACATGTTGAAGCTCTGCTGTCCCCAGTGAGACTTAAACTTGTGCTTAATGGTAAATGTCTGCTAAAATAATTATTTGCAGCTGGAACATGTTCCTACTTGAAAATGTATAACTGCTTTGTGTGTCCTCCAGTCAGGAGTAAAGATGGGGACTAAAGTATTCTTGGCCAGAAAAGCCAGTTAGTTATGAATGTCCTTGGTGAGGATATGTCCATGACCTTCCCTCACCCTCCTGCTGGCAGCCAAGCAGTCAGACCATTTATGACCATTTCTGGTGTCTTTGAGGTTGGCACTAATTGCCATCTCAGGAAAAGCATTTTCTTGCAAGGTGGGCACTGTCATTAGGAACTCAGTTGATACTGCAGTAATTCAGGGGCACCTCACCTACTATGAATTAATCAAAGTAGGACACCAGCTAGGAAAATCTCTGCTCTTTTCAGCTCTGAACACTTTTTAGACCCTCCAGTTGCTTTTTGAATATATGATACATTTGGAAATAGCATGTCTGAAAAACCCCCAAGCAAGCAAACTCCAAAGCAATCCAACCATCAAAAGTCTGGACTAAACAGCACAGGTGGCAAGAAATTTTTCTTTCCTTGTGTGTGGTCTGTGATGAAGATGCCATGTTTTCACAACACTCCTAATGAAAGCATTTTTATTTTTAGATGCTCTTTAGGGTACAATGTAATACATCAAAATAAATCATTGCATTGTATGCCTGTTACAAATGAAAGCTGATGCACCAAATGTCAGGGTTGCTTGCTTTGATGAATCAATGAATATTGACAGTTTTGCTAACTGTGTAAGAAAGAAATAGCAGTGAAGGGGAAATGTTGACTTGATACAAATATAAATATATAAATTAAATTTCAATAAGATCATACAGATTTAGTGATGATATTGTTTCAAATAAGGCAAAATGTCTCCTTGTGCTTTAATAGAGAAACGGTGTATCTTTTCCCCTCCCATATTTTCACTTAATTAATGAATTCAGCAATCACCATCTTTGAAAAGGCATTCATTTCAGCTGTTGTGGAGAAAACTTCTGATCAGACCAAGAACATTGGCTTCAAGGCCACACTCCTTCCTGTGAGACAGGGAATATCTGTGTGATAAATTACCTGTGGGTGAATGCTAGGTCTTTAATGAGAAAAACCATGCTCTGTTGGATTCAACCTTTCATGTGAAAGCTGTTTGGGACCTTACTGAGAAGAATGTGTTAATCAAGAGAAAAGCATAACTACTGTCTTGTCAGTGGACACAAATGAAAAAGCCTGGTTAAAATGAGGTTGAACTGAACTCAGAAAAAAAAAGCCAAAAAAGAGTTTTTCTGTGCTGTTTTCTGAGAGCTTGCTTTACACTGCACAGTGATTTATGACAATTGGAATCTCATTATTTCTGCAATTAATATTAGTGGATGCTTCCTATTCAGAGGAATGTTAATCATAATAATGCAAATGGAAGTATTATTTGAGCTATGTTTCAGAGTTCGTATTTCATATTGAGCCAAAGGTTCAGTACCCAGCATCATTCTCAATGGAGCATTCACATTGTATGGATAGATGGATGTGCACCAAAGGTAAAATAACTGAATTCATATAAGCCAGAATAATATGCCTGGCATATAGCTTCCCATTTTCCAATTTTGCTGTAAGGATCTGATTTTCAGGCTTTTTAAACCAATAATAAATTATAGCAATGCACTGTTAATTACACCTTACAGAAATGGTGTATAGTATAAATTGCACTGGTGATGGATTTAGATTAAGTTTCTCAAGCTTATTTTTAGCAAGTCAAAGGCAATTCATTTCCAACTGGGCCATGTTTAAAAGTTTGGAGTGAAAAAACTGTGTAATTATTTCCTAATATGAAGAGAATATTGGTGACAATATTTTATCCTACCTATCTTCTTGTACTAAATATATTAATGGGAAAGTAAGAAGCAAGAACACACATTAATTTAGACATGTGTTTAAAAGATATAATGAGTATTTATAAATTTTGCTCCTGAAAATATTTTCTAAATTGTCTTCTTCATATTGTTACCTCCCTCTGCGCTCCCTTAGATAATTTCTTAGCTTGCGCGATTGGTTTCTTTATGATTGCTGATGCTTCTGGAAATATTTGCTCCCTGTCCTTTTTCATTCTTTTTTTTTTTTTTTTCCTAATAGGAGTGGAAGGGTTTTGTTTGTCTGTTTTTCCCCCACAGGTTTTGATTTATAAAGAGGGTGGGTGGGAAGAGGGGATAATAGCAACATTTTTAAAAAGTCCTGCTGGCTTTTATTAAAAACCACATAAACTTAAAATTTTTGAAAATAATTCAGAGCTCATTCAGAAACATCAATTAATATTCCAGAACATAAATTACCCACATAAATAAATCAATGCTATACTGCCTTTTTGCTGTAGCAGAAAGGTGTTTTTAATTTTCATCCAAAAGGAATGTAATTACCACATTAAAACTGTTTATCAGGAGATGACTGTAGAGGATACTGTGCATATAGTCAGTGGGACCCTACTTTTTGGGGAACATAGAGCAATTACTGGAGCTGAAATGTCCATTATATTACATAATTATTCTTTTGATAGGAAAAGAAAGAATTTCTTAGGTGGGGACCACATTTTAGACTTAGTGGATCTGGGTTAAAATCCAGTATAAATACCCTGTATAGCATCAAGGAAAACACTTTGTTCCAGGACTTCAGGAATATCTCAAAACTCAGCTGAGTGTGAAGGAGATGACCAAATAACTTTAAGGACCAGATCCAACAGATATTGTTATAAGACTTACTCTGTATCCTGTGGTCTGGATTAGGCTGTTATATGTTCTGAATACCTGAGTCTCACCTTTTCTAAATCACTTTAGATTATTTGGGCCTGTTCTTTCAAAATGGCATTCAGGTCATGATCTAAATACGGATGTACTGACACTTAGGGGTTTGTGTTGTTTTGGTTGGATTTGTTTTGGTTGGGTGGTTGGTTGGGTTTTTTTGTTTAAGAGATGAAATAATTTCAATGGTGCATTTGATGGGTCATCTCAGAGATACATGTGGGCATGTCACAGTAACTTTCAGGAGACAGGTGTAAATGCAAGAGCAACCTTAAACCCTCAGTTTCTAACCATGACTGCTAAAGGAGCAGAGCAGACCACTTCCTTATATTTTCTGTGCTGGAGCTTATTCTCCAAAATGGGAATAATAATACTTCCCTGCCTTGACAAACAGTTTTAAAATACTTACATTGAAAATCGGGAGTAGTATAGTTATTACGGTGACAGGGGATCCTAAGTCTACTGGAGTCCTGAGAGAGGAAAGTGAACAATTTATTCTCACTACCTCCTCATTTCCAGGTCTCACAGAAAAGCATTCTGGTGAGTGATGGCCTCTTCTGCTTTTGTTTTCTTCTATTTGAAGTGAGCATCAGCAAGAGAGGATACTCACAAAATTAATTCAGATTGGCTTAGATAAGGACTCTGTGATGTTGATTAAAAACCATCCATAGGGCCATTAGTGAAGTGAGATAATAAATGAAAATGTGTTAAATCACATGAGCTTTCTAGTGGGGGAACATCAGGGAGCAGTCCTGAGTCCAGTCTTCTTTAAATATCTTCATTCATTAGCCAGAAGACAGGAAAAGAGTACATGTTAATTAAAATCACAAATGATCCAAATTGGGAGGCGCTGCATAAATCAGCAAAAATAGAGAGACTAGAAACCTTAGGCAGGAAATGACAAAATGAGATGCAGCTCTGAAAAATGCATGTGGAGGAGAAATAATCTGTACGAGGACACAATCAGCAGCAATGAGTGTTCTTGAAGAAGCAGAATTAATTGGAAGAAGACAAAGGATGTGGACCATGGAGTAAAGGGCAATGTAGCAGAGCAGCTATTTAAAGGTGACCTTTGCACCTTTTCAGTAGACAGCTTGGATTGAAAATTAATTTGCAATTGGCAAGATTGAAAGGTCAGTGCAGTTTTGGACCATATATGCAGAAAGAAGTTGCCAAAGAAAGACATGGAATCCCACTCCTCTAACAGTATGCTACCATATCACTCAACCTTCTAATTTTTTATTTTTTTCAATTCTGCAAGACCTTGTGCACCAGAGTGAATGTAAAATAGATGTGCATCTAATGAAGTGGGTAGCCTGGGAGAGCTGATGGGTCTGGCAAATGTGGCTTTCAGTGAAACTACACACACCCTCTTACTGTGTTCTCTACCTTCCTAGTCTATATGGGACGTGGTCTCCCTGGGACAAGGAAAGCAGATAAGAGAAGGGACTTTAGACTAACAAGCTAATGAGAGGCAGAAGAGGAGCCCCAGTGCTGCTCTACACTTTCTTTGAACCTCCTACTTGTAGTGTAATAGGTTTGTGACACATGCATCATTAAATTTGGACTCTTCAATGCCACACGCAACTCGTATAGAATATTGTTTACTGATGTGAGTGCAAACAGCAAGAGGCATCTCTGGAAGGTCTCAGCCATTTCTCTCTAACAAAGGGAGAAGACTTAAGAAAGGAGATATTTGGGATAACCATATAAATAAAAAAAGAAATCTTTTTATTTTTACTTTCTGAAGCTTGTGAAAACACAGAAGAGGAAAGGAGCAACTGCTGTGTTAACTGGAAACCCTTGAACCTCCAGCAGAGGAATTGATGAATTACTCCTTTGGCAAAGGGATGGGTGTTTGCAGAGGTGGTGAAGGACAGGCATCTAATTCTGTGTGCTGTACAGAAAATCTTAGTTTGTATTTAACTAACACATTTCTCTCTATGAGATGACTAAGCATACCCTAGTAGTCCTGGTGTGATATTACAGCAGGAGCCATGTATGTATAGATGAATGTTTTAGATACCCTGTATAACAGTAAGTAGTTGTTTAAATTTATTTTTGTATAGCAAATAAGTTAAAAATCAATGAACAAAACACTGATTTTTTTTCTATGTCTGTGTATTTTTCAGGTAGACTGAGAATAACACGTCTAGGTTAAAACAGTATCCTGCAAGAAGCATTTGATGGATTGTTCTTAGATATTTCTAAGAAGGCAACTACCAAAAGTGAGTACTAATTCCAGTACCTGGGATGTTTTAATCATGTTTTGTCATTTAAAATAAAATTATTATATTTGTGATGTTTCTTGAGGAGATTTCTGTAATTTGAGTCATGAGGAATTTCACTAATCTCTCTAGAACGTGTCTATTATTGACCAGTGTCTATTTTTGTTAGCTGACAAGGATGATTTGCATCACAGTCTCAGTCATGGATTCATTTCTGCTGTGCCAGGTGTCCTAGAAACATAAACATTCTCTGCATGAAATTACTTACATCTTAGTAGAAATCAAGAAGCTGTGGATAGTGACAGACAGAGGAGACCTATGGATGTGATAAGAAAGTGCTGGTCAGTATGACAGGTAATGCTAATAGCACACCTGCAACCTAGTCCTTGTCAGAAAATTTTAGATGTTGCTACAGAGGAAAAAAGTCACCAGCAAGGTAATTTTATATGTGTTTATGGAGAGCAGCCTGAAAGAAAATACAAAAGTACTCATTTGGAAATCCAGTGCATAGACTATGGAAAATGACTGCATGGGTTGATTGGATGCAGACAGCCTAGTTTTGATAGAAATGGGGAAGGAAAATCAATGCTATATCTGGAAAAATAGCCTTTGTATCCAGGGAATATCATCAGGGCAAATTTACTTCTGTGATGCAAGTGACAGAAAGGGATTCTGCAGTAATTGACATGTTCAAAGATAAGGTTCGAGATAAGAGATTTACCTAGATGCGTAGAGAGCAAGGAAAGGCGTTATCTGAAGTATGATACACAGAACATATTTTAAATGTGTGTGTAGCTTCAGTGTAACTGGGAAGTGGCATCTGGAGTGGACAGGAATATGAGTTGAAGATGCTATCAAGGTTACAGACATGTGACAGGATGGTGGCATTGTCCATAGTGATCAAGAGGAAAGATTGCTTGAAGATCATTGCTGGGACATCTCAAGCAAAGCTGGGACTATTCAGTAGACAGAACATTGCAAGGAAATGGTAGTGAAGCAGAAGTATGAATCAAAGAATTGTCGAATATTTGATGTTGGCAGGAACCTCTGGAGATTGTCTAGTCACCTTTCAAATAAAAACACACTTTCTTAGAGAATGTTGCTGAGGGATGATCTTTAAGAACTTTTCACCTAGCACTGAAGGGCTGGGGCGTCTGTGGCTCCTGCCATATAACGAAGCAGCAAATGTTCACCTCGGCCTGGGAAGTCTTGACATGATTGATGAATGGAGAGAAAGAAATGTCTGTTAATATTAAAACTACAAGTACAGTAGAAGGAGTTGTAAAAGTCAAAGCCATGAATATAAAGTGATATTTAAATGAAATTGATGCAGAATTATGTGTACTTGCAAGACAGAATTAAAGTGATTAGTGAACACCAGTGCTTTAATCACCGGCACTACACAGATATTGGCATAAGAAAGAAGAGGCAGTTACCAAAGCATGAAAATTTTGCCTACGAGTCATGTCCTGGACTTTGTTCTTTACTACTTAGGGAGAAATCATTTATTAAATTGCTTTTTTCCCCCCATAATCTTAGAATCATAGGAAGGTTTGGGTTGGAAGAGACCATAAATATAATTTAATTCCAATCCCCCTTGCCATGGGCAGGGAAGTATTAGGGCTGGTGTGAGCTGAAATGTTGTGTCTGTAGCAAGAGTTCAAAAAGTTAACCCCTGAGAAAGATCTCGCTGCAAGATAATGACTAGGCATAAAAAACAAAGAGAAAGAAAAAGAGAAAAAGAAAAAGAAAAAAGAGAAAAAGTGTTTTCAAAGTCAAGGTTTCATAGTAAGCAGTAACAGTATAATGAGGTGATAGAAAACTGAGTTGAGTAAGGAAAAGAAGAGGAAATCTCTAAAGTAAAACTTCTCAAATTACTGGGAGTCGCTGTACATGATAAGCTCTTTATTAAGAGACAAGAATTTCAGAGGACTCGTCTGAATAGCTTTTTACTGAAGGTGAATTCTTACTTGTAATCTGAAGACTTTCATTACAAAATGCTACTCATTGCAACATGCAGTTTTTTACAGCCATGATGCATTTGATACCCTTTTTGCTACCAGGAGATCTGAGTAGTGACATAAGGTCAGAGTCAATAAGAAAATCCAAATCAGTTGTTTGTTGTGGAATCACAGAATTTTTCCTCAGTTATGTCCAGCTGGGTATTGGAGTCAGTCATGCCAGCTATAAGGCACATTTGCCTCTCAAAGGGTCTGTCCAGAGCTGCTTCCCAGGTATGCCATGCTAGCTGGTCCAATACTATCTGCGAAGTCTTGGAATTATAGAATGTTTGGGGTTGGAAAGGACCTCAAAGCCCATCTCCTTCCAAACCCCCTTCCATGGAAAAGGACGCTTTTCACTAGACCAGGTTGCTCAAAGCCCCATCCAACCTGGCCTTGAATGCTTCCAGTGATGGAGGAGTCACAGCTTCTACAGGCGGCTTGTGTCTGTGCCTCACCACTCTCACAGGAAATAATTTTTTCCTAATTCCCAATTTAAACCTAACCTCTGCCAGTCTGAAGCCATTCTCTCCTGTTCTGCCTCTCCATTGTAAAAAGTCCCTCTTCCAGCTCTCTTGTAGCCCCCTTTAGGTTCTGGAAGGAGCTCTAAGGTCTTCCTGTAGCCTTCTCTTCTCTAGGCAGAACAACCCCAACTCCATCAGCCTGTCTCCACAGGAGAAGGTCTCCAGCCCTCTAAACACCTTTGTGTCCCTCTTCAATGCACACACAAGATGAATATGCACAGTACAAATAACAGAGTCTGTTATTTTACTGTCTCATTAAAAGTAACTACATGCCTCAGGGTATATAGAGTGTATCTCAGGAGCTGCCAACATTGATCTGGAAACAGGATGATTTTTGGAGTTGCTGTCCTCTTGCATCTCTCAGTGGAAACTGTGGCTCATTGCTGATCAAACTGCTCTTACTCAGGTGAGGAAAAATGGCATTAGGTAGTTGGCATTTGGTACCCAGATTGAAAACTGATTGTTGTTGGCTGTCATGCTATTCTGCTGCAACCTGTGCTCTCTTCCTTTCTATTTTCCTGTTAAACACCATAAGGCAACTCTCATGACTGTTTTTTGCAAGCACTTCATATTGATAAAGTTTTGGGAATATGTTTTTGTAAAAACCCCCTTGTCCCAACAAATTAGAAACTGCTAAACAATGTGTATGTGTTTTCAAATTTCCTTGAGTCCTCTGTCTTCTTAGCCTTGATCAACCTGCCACCAGAGCTGCGTGACATATCTTCTTGTTTACACTACAAATCCAAGATAGGCATCTTTAGCAACTGTATATTTATACAGCATCTAACACATAGGGCTCATGATACACGCAAAGCCTCCAGGTGCTATAATCATAGAGATGTTACATAATACTAGGGAGTTTCTCATTCTTCCCACAAGGCATCTTGTTTCAACCTGCAATATAGAGAGACATCCTTCTAAAAGGTCTATTTATTCAAATCAATGTCATGCAGTGTTAATTAAGCATTGATACTTATCTCTTATTCTCTGGGATGCCAGATCATCATTTTTCTTGAATAACCCTTGAAGTTTGGCTCAGAATACCGGAGGTATGATAGAAGAGACTTGTCATGGAGACTACTAGATTAATTATTTAGTTAGTTAGTTATGTATTCATTTGCTTATTTATTTTTGCTGTCAAGTGCATGAGTTTCCATGAACCTTTCTCCTCCCATTATTTAGCAGAGGAGGAACTGGAAAACAACAGGAAGGCTGTAATTAACAACTTGGCTGTGGAGTATGCCACAGGTGGGGGCTGGCTGTAGAAACCAGTATGAACTCGAATGTTTATTACAAGAACTGTTTGTACAGTGTCTGTCAATCATTTTCTCCCTGTTTAGATTTACTAGTGAATTGCAGATGCATTTCTTGAACACATCAGATTTTGCTTTTCTTTTGCTTTGCTGTAGAAATCTCTTTTCAGCCCAATTTTTTTCTACCTGTTGTGACACGCAGGAGATGTGATCTCACACCCTCCAAAGAACTGATACACAACAGCAAAGAAATAACAAAGATCCCATCATTACACTGTTTGGAAAAAGAGGTAACTTCATAGCAGTGGAACCACCTTTAGCTGCAGATATAGTGTATCTCAGAGAAATAGGGATACGTATTGCTCATCTCCTTGCAGGTTTAACAAATACACCAAAATATTATAGCATTTTCCTTCTGAAAACCACGTGGTGTGTGGAGAGCATAATGACATAGGCTTAACCCACAGCCTGCAAGTGCAATAGCTTTTAGCCATACCCCCACCTCCATGAACAGGCTGAGCCATCCCAATGTTCTGGCACAGTTTTGCTGGTTTTATGATCTTACAGAGTTTCACTCAGGGCTGCTTTGTGTATCTCTGGATGATCTCATAATGTACTTTATAGACCTCTGTAACAGTGCCATGCACAAGGCCCACACAGCTTGTGTGTGCTGCTGTCACAGCCAGTGACTGCAAATAGCACAGATGCCTCAGTGGAAGCTGTGCATCCTCAGTTCCCTCTCCTTGCCTTCATGTCTTCCCCTTGCAGCAGATGTGTAGCTCCTACAGCACTGTGGCATTGTCCTAGAGCTGGGCAGAACCCCACTGTGCCATGGCCAAAGCTCTTAGATACCCCTTACTTTGCAGCCCTGATTGAGCAGCACAGCCCATAGTGCCACAAGCCACCACTGGGGACTGTGAGCAAGCCCTTGTTTGTCACCCACAGCCATGGTACAGAGAGCTAACTTATTGAGAAGTCAAGGCAAATATGCATCCAGGGATTTTCATCTGAGTTTTCTTTTCATAAAACCATAAAATCATAGACTAACAGAATTGTTTGGATTGGAAGGGACAATGAAGACTGTCTAGTTCCAACCCTGTGCCATGGGTTGGGACACCTTCCCCTAGACCAAGTGGCTCAAAGCCCCATCCAAGCTGGTCTTGAACACCTCCAGGGCTGGAGGAGTGACATCTTCACAACCTCTGCCAGT